AAAGAAAAGAGTAATAAAATGAAAATCGGTGGAAATAACAAAAAATTGGAATCCATGGGAAATCGTACGACGGACATAGAGAAACGGGTCTTGTGTAACAAGTAAAAAAAAAAAAAAATCTTCGAACGAGAAATTGAGGGAAAAAAGCAAACAAGGAAGAGAGGATTCACTCGACAAAGTATAAAACGAACACGTAAAGATTAGAGCAAAGGGGAATTATGAGAAAGAGTAGAAGAGACGACAGACAGAGACAAACAGAGAAAATAGAGAGACAGGTAAGAGAAAAAGTGTGAGACAGACAGAGAGTGAGTGAGAGAGAGAGAGAGAGAGAGAGAAAGAAAATTAAAAAAAATATATATATAAAATAAATGAAAATTATGTATAATCAAAAGTAAAACCAGTTTTAAACTATATTATGTAAAAGACGGTCAAACAATGCGGAGATTTGGACTTGAGGACTAACCATATAGTAATCCTGAGAAGGGGATCTGCCTGTCACAGATACATTCTGCACCAGAGTTCTATTGCTCGTCTGAAAGTAGGTTACACATTCAGTTTTTTCCTTTTTCACATTTTATTAGCGTAGATAGAGAGAGATAGAGAGATATGTGTGTATATATATATAGTGAGAGAAAGATAGTGATGGAGAGATAGATAGAGATAGAGAGAGAGAGAGATAGAGAGAAAGTCGGAGATAGTAAGAGACATGGTCAGTGTCATCGATCAGTATAATCAGTACTGTGTGTACACGTGTGTAGAATAATTAATAATTCAGTGTGTACCTGCACAATACATCTGAAACCACTATGGTATTTGGATACGGTTATACATAAATGTGAATTTCTTTTTTTCTATTTTCACATTTTTAACCCAAATTATCATTTCGTATTTCCACTTGGAAAGTTCCTTGATGACGTAACACTTAAATTACAATGATTCATCAACGAAGTGGATGATCATCGTCATTCGTTCATGTCGCTGGTTTTTTTAATAGTTATCATAGAAACAAAACGATATATATATATATACAGTTTATCACCTACTGACCTCTGACAAGATCGTTCAATTTCCTTTTTTTACCTGAATCTCTGAATTTCGCGAGGATGGTCTCGCTGAACTTAATATTTTTGATAATTATAATTATTTAATTAGTGAGGATAATTCGAGTGAGACCCGACTTTCGCACTTTCGTGGACGGAATCGATGGATTTACTTGGAAGAGAAGAGAGAAGAGAGATACAGAGGAGAGACAGAGAGAGAGAGAGAGAGATAGAGAGGTCGACAGATAGATACAGATAGATAGATAAGATAATTAGATAGAGGAGATGAGAGATGACAGATAGCAGTAATAATCAGGTACACGCGATGACCTCTCAGAGGTCAGCACGGGCGCAGACTTACTCCACAACATCGATCTTGTTAAATGTATAGATACGTATAGAGTACGACGCTTTTGTTAGGCGTGTTAGGCATGTTTTTTCTTTTTCTCTCTTTTTTCTTTAATTTTATAATCTTTTTCCTCGCCTGCCCAAATTGCGATTCGCTGCGACCACTTGACATACCGCGGACGTCTTTATCGTGACAGAAACGAGGAGCGAACAAGACGATCGAGACGAAAATTGACAAGATATCAGATAAGGTAAAAGATAAACGAAAGTCGGAGACAAGATGAACACGATAAAATTATTATTTGGCGATGAGAGACAGAAACGAAGAAAAAAGGCCAAAAATGTGTAAAAAAAAAAAATAATAAAAATGGATACGCGGCGAATCGCGTTTGTCTTGCGCGATCAGACAATATGCAGTGATCACGGCACAGGAGGATACGTACTGGATGCGAGTGACGCGTGTTAAAAGTTTTGACGTCAATTCCAAAATAATATGACAACGTCCGATACGTATCCCCAGAGGCAGGAAAGTTTCGAGATAATAATAAATTCATGTGTCATTCCATTCATCCCATCGGCAGCGCGTTAATGGTAAATAGTCGTGAGGAATGTTGCCAACTATCGATGTACCATAATATCGTTTATAACTTTTCATCGGACGTCCTAATAACATTATCGTCCGGTCCCTGGTCGTCGGTCGTAGTCATCATTTAATATTAACGGCCGCCGCCTTTCTCTTTCCCTTTTGATAATAGAGCAAACGATCGCGTGATATGGTTTTTGCGTTGCAATTCATGTTGCAGATGGCGCTCGGATCCGCGCGACGCTACACAGTATATCTATATGCACAAGGAATGAGAAAAAAGGATTTTCAAGAAGAGGATGGATAATCGTAATGGATTGTCACTGGCGACATCTGGGTGCGTTATTGCGAAACAATGGGGAAAAAAGAGAGACTATCGACTTGAACAAAGTCGAGAAATAAAAAAAAAGAAAATTCATAAAACCCATCAACGCCTGTATCCCGCTGCTAGTCGTATTTTCTCTTTTTCATTTATGCTCAAAAATTGTTCTTTCATTTTTATTACGATTACGGTTTTTTACCCTCTCGCCGCTTTCTTTTTGTTTTCTTTTCGCTTTCTCGCTCATCCCTCGTGACAATCGCTCGCAGAAGCACCCACCACCGACCAGCATCAATATTCTCACGGAAATTCGGACATTCTTAATGGAACGAAGAAATTTGAAAAAAATAGAAATAATAATAACAGTAACGTCTACAAACACAAATTATAACCTAAAGTTGGGAAAGGAAAATGAAAAACACTCTCGACAGACATTCACACGCATTCGTACCACGCACGCTACACGCATCAAGTTTTGTATTGGTAGAAATTATTTTTTTTTTAAATAAAAAAAATCTTCAACCGTTTCGAAAATGCGCACGTGGAAAAAAGTGCTTCGCGCGTCACGCGCAACTGTACACGAAAAGTGCGACGACGAACGAAACAAATAGAGAATTCGTATCGCAATTAATCATTTGCTCTCGCGTTTATGCAATTATTTTGGTGAATGTTTTTTTTTTTTTTTTTTT